GCCTCGTGGTTACGTAATATCTGTAACAGATTTTTTATATTCTAGGTTAACCATCATGCCTGCTACCCATGCACGCCGCTTCATTTTAAGTAGCACAAGGATTTTCACAAGAGCCAATATTGCAATCACCCCTGCCCCATACGGGAACGTAATGTTGTCTAGATTGGTCTGCAGACAAGTGGACGTCCAAAAAAGCACGCGCACGGGCACTTATGACACAGCAAGGTCTCTCCAACTAATCCACTACCCGCAATCCCCGATCGGCAAGGGCGGAAAGAAGGGCTTCCCCAGCTAGACCTGGCACCCCGAATGGATTGCCGAGCCACCCAGCAACCGTTCCTAACGCCTGGCCTCCAACTGCCTTGAGCTGATACAATCGATCGGAGCCCCTGAACCCCACATGAAGCTAAAGATCGAGTTTGTCACACAAGGTCAGCCGGAACGTACACACTCCCATGAGGAAGATGTCATGGACTCGACCAAGTGCGAACACTCGGACAAGCAGGGTTAATCCCACAAAAGTGGGCCAGACATCACTGGCGTCCAGTACACTTTAGCACTGGATCACATAACCCGACTGGAGACCCTTGTTTAAGGGGCCTCTACGCCAGTTCACACAATACACCGAGATGCAGAATGTTCGGGACAACTAGATGGGGTCGGCTTCAATAGTCCAGGATCTCTACGGCTGCTTCCCCAAACAGAACGCCTTCAAGAAAGCTGGAAAGTTACATCCGTTTAAAGGTATTTGCTAATACGGAATGATAGTGGATAGGTCCTCAAACCATTATCGGAATTTATCTACGCTCGATGGACGGGATTCAAACTTAGAGACGTTCAGTACTAATCCCCAGAGTGGCTGACCACATCCACGGCCTTGCGACCATGAACACGTGCCAACATTCTGGATCATGCTAGGCACGGTATCCTAAGCGCTGTAAACAACGTCACGTTGCCTGGCAGGACCACGAAGAGGTAGCCGCCACCACAACCTCCAGAAGGCTCCATTTATGCGCGTTACCTAATTCACCCATTCAATTAGATGACGAGGCATTTGGCTACCTTAAGAAAGTCATAGTTACTCTCGCCAACAGATTCTGTAAAACATCTTTAATACAAAAAATAAGCCTATATTAATTCATGTCACTTGTATGTAGATGAGCAAATAAATGTCGGTGCAGTATCTCAACGACTCTTCATTATCCGTTAGCAATATTCATGAGAATGAATTCAGTTGTATTAATAATCTATTTCAATAATATTTATTACAGATTAGTTCACCAACCATGTTGGCTGCATAAGCTTAGTATTTTGTAGATATTAAACAAAATTTATTCTAGTGACTTATAGGCGAACATATTATTTGCATCTAATGAATATGTGATTATATATTTGTTGATAGTTTTCCCAGCATTATAACTTTTTACTTGCTTTTCTTACGCCTGTTACACCCAGTGGAGCATGGGCCGCTCACCGGTATTCTCAAACCTACTCTGTTCTGGGTTTCCATTTCCAGTTCTGTCCAATGTTTGTTCATTCCTCTCATATCTTTCTCTATTTCTCGGTGTAATGTGTTCCTTGGACTTCTTCTTTTCCTTTTGCATTGAGGGTCCCAATTAGGGACTTGTCTTGTGAGGCAGTTCGGTGCTTTCCCCAGTGTGTGTCCTATCCACTTCCACCGCTTCTTCCTGATTTCCTCCTCCATTGGAATGTGGTTTGTTCTCTCCCACAGTACGTTGTTGCTGATAGTGTCTGGCAAAAGAATCCGAAGTTTTTTGCGAAGACAACTGTTCATAAATACTTGCATCTTCTGAATGATGGCTTTGATAGTTCTCCATGTTTCCGTTCCGTACAGCAGAATTGTCTTGATATTTGTATTGGGAATTCCGATTTTGGTGTTGATTGATATTTGTTTTGAGTTCAAGATGTTTTTCAGTCATAGAAATGCGGCCCTTGCTTTGCCGTTCCACTCCCTCACATCTGCATCGGATCCACCTTGATTTTCGATGATGCTGCCCAGATATGTAGAGGTGTTAACGTCCTCCAAGGCATCTCCATCGAGAGTGATTTGGTTGGTGCATGTTGTGTTGCATCGGAGAATTTCGCTTTTCCCTTTATGTATGTTGAGACCTGCTGTTGCTGAGGCTTCTGTTACACTGTTTGTCTTGCATTTGTTGTTGTGTGTGCGATAGAGGAGCCAGATGTTGTGAGAAGTCCAACTCGTCCATCTGCATCCCATGCTGACATTTTCATAATCCAGTCGATCACCAGGAGAAAGAGAAAGAGTGAGAGTAAGCAAGCTTACCTGATACCGATCTTCACTTGGAATGTTAATAATAAATCTTTTAATTCATAAGCCACTTCTAAAAACCTGTGTAAATAACATATATCGATAAAGAAATATTTCCTTTACCCAAGTTCCATTGTTTCTAATGACAATATTCTATTTTACAGTATATTTTTCTGTATATTTATTTCACATTTTTTTATATTTCTTATCATTCACAGTTGAACATATTCTTGTCGAAATAATACAAATGTTAAGTACACATCACGAAAAAAATACCAATCATTCCACTGATTGTCATGTTGACAACAAATCAGAGGAATCGGTTAATCAAATAAGCATAACAAGTGATTCACTAGATAACGATAATGATCATATTAAATGTCCAATCGATCAATATTTCAATGCTGTTCATATATATTCAAATGAATATTTTATAAATTTAACGTGTTCATTACGCTCTTTACTAGTCAAAATGTATATCAAGTCAAATCGTTTTCAAGTAAGTTAATTGAGTTTTATGCCATGATATATAGGATCAGTGTTAATCTGATAAATAATTATGTTGAATTTGCATTTTGTTCAAGTTTGCATATTTCAAATCCTTGATCTCATTCAAAATGAATTTTTGGCTGAAATAAATTGGAACAACACATATAAAAACATCAAAACCATTACGTAATAAGCAAATGTGTTAAAAATAAAAATAAAATAAAAAATATAATGTCAATCGTTAGTTACGACATATCTGGCCATGGAAGAGATAGGGGTGTCACGAATTTCTTCGGAACACATAAATTGGGGTTGAATGTACGTATTCCTATGGCTTCTGCAATGTGTAGGAGACGGGATGGAACTCCGTTGGGAAATGATGGAGGTATACGATAGATCACCCGAAAAGATCTAAATTTATCTACAATGTGACCACTATCTACCAGGTGTGCTAAGATAGAACTGCGTATTGTTTTTGACTGATTTTAGTCATCATATTTTTCATTTCATTGTGATTATCACTCAAATTGTCTTGATTGGTTTAACATTTTCATATGTAAATATTCATGTATATTAGAGTGAAGCAGCCTGATGACGATCTAACCGAAAAAACAATATTGTTCACTTATATGTGTTGTTCTAATTTTGCACAATCGGAATATTTAATATTCTGAAATAAATTATGCTATGTATTGTTGACCAAAGTATTGATTTGTCATTTTTCTAATTATTTCCTTTCATTAAACACGGATGCATATTTCGTTTAAAGAAATCAGGAACTTGATGGGTTTCAAGGATAAGTCTTCATAATTGAATGTTGCAATGCAAATTATCAACTATCAGTTAGTATGTTCAATTCAATTACATTGTTTAGAAAAATTTAGGTTTTCTAGTTGAGTTTTGTTCTTTAAGTTGGATTGTCTTGGTTGTGAAGTTTTCATTGTTTTTCTGAATAATATTATCAGCATAAACTTCAGGCCGAAGTGAAGTATTCGAATTTTTGCACGTATGGCTGGCTCACAGCCTGTCTTGTTGACTTTGATCTTAATTGCTTAGTATTATTGGTCTTCATTATGATGTTATCTGCCTCTATCGTTTGATTGTATCGCCTTTTGATCTAAATGCTTGATCGTATATTTGTCCATGATTTTTCTGGTTGTTTGATGAATTGTGTGTTTATTTATTGCTGATTGACTTGAGTACCAAGCTTCAGAAAATCCTTTAGTATTCCTAGCATTTCTTCTACCCAAGACTTTAACATTTTTCCAGTTGAATATATGTCCACAGTTGTCCATATGGATTAATGTAAAGAACGATTTGTCATGGCGTTTATCTGCTAATTATAATGTTCATTCAAGAGAAGATGAATGAGACGTCCAGTTTGTCCGATATAGCGTTTTTTCACGGCAAGAACAGTTTATTTCATAGATGATGCCCAGTTTTTCTGCTATTTCATTGTCTTTTGGCTTGTATTGTTTGGTCTCGTGTGCTTTTACGGGTATGGGGGTGGTTATCACTTCCCGGCTGCCCACACCGTGGAAGGTTGTTTCTTGAGGAGCCTGAAAAGGAAGATAGATTAGTGTTGGTCTTAGAGACCTGGGAAAGTGACCGCAGAGCCCAAGGGACAACTGCTTGAGGCCGGTCACGCACGGCCTTTTATGAAGGATTTTTTGAGTATTAGCTCCACTCTTGAAAGCCCTTAGTGGGCACCCTTACCGACGGAGACGGAAATCCGTGAGGTAGGGTGAGGTGTGACATTTTTAGGGCCAACCTTTTCTAACCCCTCCTTCCTTGTGAGAAGGCAGCATCGCTGCAGATGCTGGTTCTCTGAGTGAAACACCTTACTGCTGTCACAGCCCTCTGCAGTCAGCAGTGCGACTTCGTCCTCAGACCTTAAATAGCTGCTTTTAGTCTCATCGCTCTCCAGTCGACCTGCCTGGCATGGTAGAACCTTGAGGAACATATGTTCCAGCCAATATAGCTCGGTTGGTTCATCACGATAGTCAAGCCCGACTACCACGTTAAGGTAGCAACTTCGGTCGGGTTTGGTTTGTATAGGATTGATTAAAGTGGCTTTGTTAATTTATATTCTACGTCTATTCAAAAAAGGCTTCAGTAATCTCATTTCGATTGCTGATATGTCTGTTGTATATGGTAGGATTATCCGTTTGTTGATCTCGGTACCTGATTTCGTTTTTGCTGATAAGTTTGGTCATTATATATCTTTCCTTATTTTCCGCTCTGAATGTGTGTTGTTACGTTTTTTTGTCCGCAGTTGATTTTGCGAGTTTTTGGGTTCTTGCTACTGCAGCCTGGGATTTGATCTATGTGGGTTGGCTCCCGATATACTTAAGTCGTCAGATTTTCTTTGTTGGTTGTCATAATCAGTTCACCCAATTATGATAGTATGTTGTTCGACTCTTTTTCCATTTTGAATTTTATATTATCAAAGACCTTGTTAATTAGCTTGTAGGCGTTTTCCGGCTTATCCCTTCTGATAATGATGAAGGTGTCGTCTACATAACGAACCCACATTTTCTGGTTTTGATCAGTGGTAAAATCAAGGCTCCTAATCTCTGCATCAGGACTTCTGCTGTAATCCCTGATATCGGTGATCAATCCCATTGATATTCCTTTCATCTGTTCGTATATTTTATTGTTAAATCGCATACATGTTGAGGCTAAATCAATGAGTTCCTTGCAGGTTTTGACTTTGACGTCTAGTGTACTTTGAGAGACTTTCATCTTTGGTAAGGAGCAAAGATAACGTTTTGTTCGCTAAAATTGATTCTATTAAGATTGATAAGGTTGTCATATTGTAAGATATCATTAATTCGTTGTTTCTGTGTTGAATCACCTTAACTTTATCCGTGAGTTGTAGGGGAGATTTGATGAAGTGATTGGATGAATCCATTAAATGGTTCAATATTTTTCAAAATTCCCCAAAACAAATTGTATGTTAAGGTTCCGAGAAGTGATAAAATTGAACATAGTGATGAGATGTTGGGTTTGTGTGGTTTCAATTTACTGTAGTGTCGCGGCAGCATTGGTACATTTAGTCTCATTCTTCATTGATCATGTCCTCCCCTTCATTGACAAATTTGTTGAAAGTGTAACTTTTTCATCGGATTTGTGTTCATTGGTTTGAATACTCTTTGATATATTCTTTTTTGCATTACGGGGTTGTGAAGATTGTTAAATTACACATTTTTTTGAAACCATGAATCGATCAATGTTAGACCACCATCAGAAACTTGGAAGTACTGGACGGCCGTTTCGTGGATGCGCACTGCTGATGAGTCCTATACCAGGACGACACGATAGGCTCCTCTAATCCGTTTGTCCCAGCTCTGGCTAACTGGATCAAGAAGTCTTGATAAATCGTAGAAAGTGAATTCTACAAGCACTCAGAAAATACGAGGCCAACGTACACACAAATCGAGTTTATTTATGCATGATAGGAACGTCTTTGGGAGAGCCAAAAAAATAGCGTACTATAATAATACATCGATCAATGACAGTCAAGGATTTTCCTTGGTGGGAAATGTAGTCCCAAGGTCAAATGAGTAACTTACGCGCGAAAACATAAAAAAACCAAGTTAAGACCTTTTCCAAGTGAATTCTGGGGACCTAACTTCCCCAACATAGAGTATAGATAGGCTTTTCCTTAACATCATTATCGTCATACCGTATTAGTCAAGTCAAGTAAACAATGATATTGTCCAGAGTATCAATGATTATTCTACAAATAGATATACATAATCAAAGAAAATATAACATCAACAGAATGTCCATGTGAACTGTCCATCTCAGCAATCACTTCAAATTCTAAAATCTATATTAAGAGGTGTTTTGTTCAGAAATCCTAAATTCTAATCGCGTTAATTTAGGAAGGGTTGATTAATTAATGATTGAAGTGTATCGTGAACATGTCACCAAATAAATTTTGTAATTGAACAATTTGGCTAAAGTAATATTGTGGTGTGTGCTACTTATACGAACGATATAAGTAGTAGAAGAAGGGACGTGAAAGACAGCAGCGACACCAATCGAGAAGACTGAGGCAGGCGAGGAAGATTGTATTATGCAAATTTACACTCTAAGTCAACTGAAAACGAAAACATTACATTGAGCACTCTATTTGCACACCATCTTTGAGTCGTTGATACCAACGCTCCATCCTTCTTTCATTCCTGTTGTTACTTACTTTCCTTCCTGTTGGTACTCTATTTATTTCTTGCTTTTGCTCCATTTGCTTTCCGTTTTCCTCTTCTGACCGTGGTGAGACTTCTTCTTTCACGTCCATTGTTAAATTCACAATAATCATCTAATTATAGATTTGAATAATTTCTCCAAGTTATTTAGTTTTATTGGTCTCATTCATGTTATATATATCTGCCACATCCTACAACAACCTGTTTACACTGTTGATATTTTTATTTCCATGTAAATAATCAATGCATGACCATGTTGTTGTAAATTACACCTCATAGATTTGTAGACAATCTTCATTGTGTATTTTCAATATGTACTTCATTTAGTCTGGAATAAACAAAAAAAATATTGTACTGAATGATAAACCCATGTAATTTTACGTGTAAAGCTGATTTGACCTTATCAAAAAAAAGAAAAAAGCAATCATAACAAACTGAAATCAATTGTAACTTTGTGGTATAAATGAATCGAGGCAATAAATAGTTAAGTGTTCAAATTCTAAATAAATGCGTATAGATTACTTACTTACTTACTTACGCCTGTTACCCCCAATCGAGCATAGGCCACCGAACAGTTTTCTCCAACCAACTCTGTCCTGGGCTTCCCTCTCCAGTTCTGTCCAATGTTTGTTCATTTCTCTCATATCTTTCACTATTTCTCGGCGTAATGTATTCTTTGGCCTTCCTCTTTTCCTTTTTCCTTGAGGGTTCCATGTGAGGGCTTGTCTCGTGATACAGTTAGGTGCTTTTCGTAGTGTGTGTCCTATCCACCACTTCTACAGCTTCTTCCTGATTT